TCGCTAGAGCAAAAAGGAACGTGGAGCTCGCTGTACATGCGCTGAAGCGAATTCAGAGACGTCATGACTGCCGTCTTTGAAAAATTATCAGCACAGAAACCATCCGTCCGAGAGAAGATTTTCTCTGAGTCAGCCATACTCGTATTTGGGTGTCGCTATTTCTAAGTGTCTGTGTTCTAAGTTATAAGTGTAGGGATAAATTCATTAACAGATCGGCCTCCGGAAGGGAGAGGTAGCGGTTAAAGTGTTACATCCCCGGCGTTTTCGGGAATAAGTCTGCTCGGGAAAAACTTTCTTATCCATTGACTGCTTGAGGAAGCAGGACCGGCAATGCGACCCGCGCGTCTATCGCAATTGACATATGCATCCACTATAATGGGCGACGGATCACACGAATGAAAATAGATTTGGCCGCTTGCTACTGAGAGCAGCCCCAAACATCCAATTATGAAGCAGTTTTCGAAGTCTTACACCAACATAGGGCGCAAGAAATAAGTTATAGCTACTAAGAAGCTCACGAAGAACGACATGTGGCACGCTGATGGCGGGCACTCTGCCAGCGGGTCGTCTGCTATTCCCTAGGAGCGAGTAGGGCGGCGTGAGGGGTGACCGGCCGCTGGCTGCGAATGGCGTTGCGGCGGGGGCAGCGGAGGGCGCCGTGGTTTCCGCGGCAGACACGCCAGGAGTGGCTGTAGTGGCAGCGAGTTGAGAACTCCGCACCCCAACGCCCCAGCTCCTACCTTGCTGATACGCTGGTGAGTGGTGATGCCGCGGCCAGTGGAGTTGAGCCAGATTGGCGAAATAGCATCAGATTCGCCCCACTTTGTACACTGTACAGGTGTGGAGGGAGCTCACTAGCGCGTGTTAACCACTTGTCATATTCCCTCCAGGAGAGCCCCATGCCGGGAGCTGAGAGAAAGCTGACTTGACGCATGTGAGCGACATTCCCAGGATGGGCTCAAGTAACCACCCGTATATCGGACAAAAACTACTGACTGCGAATGTCTGGATGACGCGTATGGATGGCTTGGCTGCAGAAGACCACCCACAACGCTGAAGGTGCCGACACTACAGACTCCTCATAGCGAGGATCAGAGGTACAAAACCAGTTGTCAAGATTGACAAAACGGTGGCTCTCGATGTTGTATCTGATAGCTGATACACTAAAAGTGATACACTCATTGTAATTGTTATTTTTTATATCTAATTTTAAAGGCATGTCGCTGAACCTGAGGTATTACCTGGGTGTTCGTCTCCTCCGGAACTGCGCCGGCTACTCGAGACCTAGAGATGGTCCCGACGACGTGTGCTGCGTAGATGGGACGGGGATGACAGCTGGTGCAGCGGCCGCGACTGGCTGCCTGAAACATCCCGACGACTATCCCGTGCAGCTGCTTTTTGCTGATCGCGATGGTATCGGCAGGGGCTGCTGGTGTAGCGGACGAGTGTAGCTGGGCACTGAGCAGTCCTCAGAGATGCTACTGCGTCAGCCAGTGCAGGGACTGGAGAACGTCGGGGCATAGCGGCGACGGAGTTGCCTCTGGGCGCTGTGCAGCCCCTGAGGGCGCCCCTTGTGCTCTGCGGAGCGACGCTGGACGAGGTGTGCTTGTCAGGCCGACTGCTGCGTGTTGACGCCGAGGCTTTGGGTGTGTCGATCAGGCGGACTCGTGGCAGGCATGAAAAAGACAGAAATCATGCTCACATCATATGTTCCACATCATGCGCACTGCAACACACCTCACGAAAGTAGCACACACTGCTCACTGTCATGTTCCTCTGCTAGCTCATTGCCTGTTCCCAATCTTAAATTCAACAAGTGTAGGTAAGAACGCTTCCAGAGCCCTTCGCCCTATATCTTCGAAGGGTGGACACCATCCCGCCCCAGAGAAACAGGCCCGGGGGTAAAAGCGCGAGCGTTCCGAAGATTGTCTCTGAGCATGACGGGGTATACGCGAACTATATAACTGATTCAGCTCATATAGCAATTACAGCCATGCAGAGCTCCTCAACCTGCTGCAGAGGAGCTCAAGCTGCTGGAATACCCTGCGTGCGATATCGTTGCCGCCGATGAACAGGGCGACCTGTTGTGTCTGGCGCCGCAGGAGACAGTGGAAACGCTTATCACCGACACGTTCGCTTGTTCCGCTTTGCCTTGCAATTATGCCCTAAGCGGAGCGGTATAATGCGTTATGCAACAGCGTTGACTATGCAAGGTCATAAGCCAGTCGATACTAAGACGACCGGACTAGGTGCAAAGCCATAAGCAGACCATACCGGAGACGACCGGACTATACATATTTACAAGGCCATAAGCATCGGCGACATCGGAGACGACCGATTTAGGTGCAAGGCCATAGGTGCAAGGCCATAAGTTTCCGATGATTGACCAGTAATGCGCATTTGACACAGGCTTGGGTGATACCGGAGACGACCGGACTATGCAAGGCCATGAGCAGGCGATAATGGAGACGACCAGACTATGCAAGGCCATAAGCAGGCGATACCGGAGACGACCGGACTATGCAAGGCCATGAGCAGGCAATACCGGAGACGACCGGACTATGCAAGGCTATGAGCAGGCGATACCGGAGACGACCGGACTATGCAAGGCCATGAGCAGGCGATAATGGAGACGACCGGACTATGCAAGGCCATAAGCAGGCAATACCGGAGACGACCGGACTATGCAAAGGCCATGAACAGGCGATACCGGAGACGACCGGACTATGCAAGGCCATGAGCAGGCGATACCGGAGACGACCGGCTCATAATCAAGCTCTGCATTGAGACAACATCATTGAGACAATTGTTATCAAACTTAAGATAAAAACCAGTTTGACTCAGCAGGTTTAAGTCGGTATTACTGGGGTAAGCCATAAGCGGAAAGCAGCTCCGTATAGCATTGCCTTCGTAACGTTGTCTTCGTATACGAAGACAACGATTGCATTGCTAGAGGCGTGACGCAAAAACCGTCAAGTGACACACCCGGATAATGCATGTTTGAGAGATAACTCTGTCTGGGGGCTCAAACATAGCTCTGGTATTGCAGCCGGCATTCGGCAGTATCCGGGAACGACGGGAGCATAAGCGAGCTATATATACTGAGCTGATGAGTTACTGAATTTGAGAGATGCCATGCTTTACTGGACATTTCATTACTTTAATAATTTGTTTGAGATATTTAAGATATCGAGTGCAAATTATCCTATGTGCTTCTAACGAGGTATTACGCATTGGGCTATGGAAACGGCCGGGAGATACCTACGTACTAATTTCTCCGACGGCTGCACCGGAGACGACCGGAGCCGAGACTGCACTAAGCCGACAACGCAGCTGTGAAATTTGTTACGGAAATTTGACCAGTAGTACGTATTTTATTGGTTTGCCATTAACAAAGCGGCAGCACCGGAGTCGACCGCAGCCTATGCTAGCTCGACCCTTTTATTGGTTTGCCATTAACAAGGCGGCAGCACCGGAGTCGACCGGAGCCTATGCTAGCTCGACCCTGAGATGACAACGCTTTGAACGCGCGCTCGACTTAAACGCAGCGCTAGCTGAATATGCTACTGAAATTTGACCAGTATTTTACTGGTTTGCCATTAACAAGGCGGCAGCACCGGACTCGGGTGCGACCGTAGCATAAACAAGTTATTCATAGACGGCGACGCAGTGTGAAATGCGTGCTAATACATTCCAGAAAACGCAGTTTTGCACGTGTTCATCTAAAACGCAGCACCGGAGACGACCAGAGCCGAGACTGGCTATGCACTGAGCCGACAACGCAGCTGTGATGCCTATAAACGACGGAAAAGTCGCAAATAGTGCAGCCTTTTCTTTACATAGTCTGCCGTTTAATACGAAGAACCGGCAATGCCGATAAAACGACCGGACAAACAAGCCAACTTGTGTTACCTAAAAATGTGGCATGTGGCGTGCCAACATGGCGTACTCTAAGTAATAGCCGGTAACACTTGGCATGGCCGGAGAAAAATCCAACATGTCCTGAGCCAGTGCAATTGAGAGGCCTTTATGCTACTGTCTCATGCCAGAAAACGCAGCATTTGATGCGTCAGGCTGCCCTGTGTGCCGGAGACAACCGGAACTTGACTACTAATGGAATAATATTGCCAAGTGACGCGTACTTCTGCTCCTTTCGTTAGAGAAAAAAGCAAACCATAGACGCACGGGGCACGCGTTAAGCGAGCCCTGTACTGAGGCAGCAATGCATAATGAGTCGTGTTACCCAAGGCTACTTTGTGTTACCAGAGTTTTTTTTTATTTTGCAAAACGCCCGGAGACGACCGAGGTTGAGGCAAGCGATGCACTGAGACGCCAATGCAGCGGTGAAAAAGCTCATATGTACTAATCCATGGCAAAATTTTCATGCCAGGCTGCTGTAATAGCTGTAGTGATGTAGCTGTAAGTTATTTGTCCATCACTCACTTATGTATCTGCGTCCGAATATGGTCAATGCGAATCGCCCCATGCGGGAGAGAGGTCAGTAGGTCAATGCCCCGGGGGCCCAGTGGGCAGGTCGGCCGGACTAGTGTCCGGGCCGCCCCGCCAGGCACCAGACGCCGATAAATGCCCCGAGGCATGAGCAGCTGATGCGGCTGGCGACCGTCCACGGCACAGACGGGGAAGGAAACCGGTAGGCGGGGACGGAATTAGACCGTCCCATGCAGCTCAAAACTCAGCGAGAAGTTAGTTTTGCTTGATTGGTGCTACCTATAGGTACTTAGATAATTTACAAACGAGCCTCCTAAAACGCGAAAATCATGCTGCTAGACCGGAGGTTGACGAGGGCCGAGAATATTGCGCGCACAGCACAGACTGTCAAGCTCGCACGTAACGCGAAACATTAAGATGTCATCAGCGATGAGACCAGTCAGACTTGGAAAGTCCAAGCAAAGAATCTAGATGCAATATCTGCTGATCGGCAATGCGGCCGCAAAGGTATCGACATAGTTATCACTAATGCGATCTCCAAGACACCTCACCTCCAGTGTTGTCAAGCAGCAACACGAAAAGCAGGAAGCGCCGCGCTCAGCCCACGGCTCAGTGGCTGACTGCTCTCGGCGGCGCTGCGCGCGCGAATGACCCGGGCTCGGGTCATGCGGACCTGACGAGCGGGCGGTATGACGCAATCACATGGGCGGCGCTCGCTCTCACCGCGGAGAAAAAACATTATCAGTTGACTTATAATGTTACATTTAAGCTAGCGTCTACTACATATACAGTACAGGTCGATGAAAATCGTGATGCAAAATTGACAAAAAATGTGTATTTCAAAATTCCTTAAAATTTATTTTTCTTTTTACCTTAATGCATCATATTGCATATCATTCGACTCGGCTGATGAAGAAGAACACAACGACACCATTTTTGAAGCTCTAGCTTCATTGTCTGTCGCGTTATCTGCAAAAACGTAGTTTGACCCTAGTTGACCTTAAGTGACATGACTGGCTTTGTCTATGATAACATGTTTATTTTCGAAATTTATCTTTGATCTAGGTGTAAACCAAACATGCTCAGTACCTATTATCTCATGGAAAACAGTGGTTTAGTGGCCATGCTCTCGGTTGGGGGTAAGCTTGGCCACTCGCCCGGGGTTACCCCAATGTGCTAATTTTTATTTTAGAACAGCGATATTCGAAAAAATGTCATACTTAAGCCAGCCTGCCTCGTCACCCCTCACTACAAACACTTAAACGGTCCTTACATAACATTCGTATAAATATTAGTACTGTATGGTATAACATTAACAGTGCAACACATCTCACTTTTTAGCTAAAAACCCTTAAAATATCATTTTTGCGCTATAACTTTAACAATATGCATTTTTTGTCGGCCTTAACTTTTTTGCTCGCGTTACCTTAGCTGCCACGCTGAAAGGACAAACAGTTGAGCATTTTATTGTGAATAATTTAGCCGGAAACGGGGTGGCCGGGCTTCCCCCGCGCCCGGGCTTCCCCCGGCTTCCCCTATTAGAATTTTCATCGCAAACACACAGCTGCTCGGTAGAAGTTCAATGTCAATTGTCACAAGTTTATCAAAGTCCGGTTCAAACGAAGCTCAGTGAATCGCAATAACTATGGTTAATTAGGTGGAGAGGCGTTAGCTGTTTTCACGACGGGTAATCGGACGAATTCGCAAATTTGACCAAATCTGCAGACTGCATCAGATCTCTTTTACAACAAATATGTTCATATCATGACATTTTTCAATGTTTTAATCGAAAATAAAGCCTGATAGTTTAAAAAATGTGATATAAACATTTACGCAACCCAAACTGATAATTTCTAAGAAATACAAGCTTATTTTGACTAAATGTGCACCCAATTTGCACAAAATATGAGCCAAATGTGTACCAGATAGCCGTCGTGAGAACGGCTACTTTGCTACAAGCGGCTTCAGGTCAAACGAGATATTCACACGGTCAAGCTAGTGTTTTGCAGGGAAAGCTACTACGATCCATTAGCTATCGAATGATGTGCTTTGATCGTGTTTTTTCCTACACCTCTATTCAAGAACCACTGTGCAGCTATTTTTGTTTTACATGGCCCATAAATTACCTTAGGTCAGTCCGTGACTTTTTAACTCTCGCCCGCACATGCCATTTTCCCATCCTAGAACGCACATGGGGGGGGGGGGGGTTGCCACCCCCCGCGCCATTTCGTTCCTGTTGGAGATAGAGCTTAGCGGTAAAGACCAAAAAGATTCTTTGGGAAAAGACGAATCCAATGATACCCAGTTTTACCTTCTCAGGTCAGTCATTGACCTTCCAGGTCAGGTCAAACTAAAAAATGTTGCTGTTTTGGGTCACCGTTGGATATCAAGTGCGCTGCTTAGCATATACCGATGACGATGCCGTTTTCTGGTGCCAAGGCAGCTAGAAGCTCTTACTCACTCTACCCGACCAGGTTTTTGCTGCTGAGGTCATTTCAGGTCAAGTTAGGTCAAGGTCAATTATATGTGTTTGTATGTCTGTGTGTGTCTGTGTGTATACTGATGTGTGCACCGATTGTTTATGGGTCCGTATTCCATGAAATCATGATCTGAGAAGCTTTTACCAAAAATGCAGTCAAAAAACTTCACAAAAAGTAATTTCCGCTTGCCTAAAACGCAATTATCTTAGATGACCTAGGTTGACCTTGACATTGACCTTGACATCTGTACATCGTTGAACAACATGTTCCATGATAGGTGGGAGGTAAGACTGGCAAAAAAGTCCGAAATCAAGGTGTCAAAAGCTCACAAGGCCTATAGCCAACGCAAGATGTTGAGAATTGGCCATTTGGGTCATGACATGACCTGAAAAACAAGGTCATATCTCCGAAACCAAAAACCACAGAAACTTGAAATTTTCAGTGGACATCAAAAAAGGATTGAGGAGCAGTTATACGAAAAATCAGCCTTCTAGCTCTAAAAATGTTGAGTGCAGAGCAGAAAGACTACCTGGGAGGAGGGGGGTGGCAACCCCCCCCCCCCCCCATGTGCGGGAGAGGGTTAAGGAACACTTGATCGTGTGAGAGGAGTTTAAATGACATTTTGAGTCGGTTGATCCAGTGTTCAAGCTCTACTGGGTGGGTCAAAACTGCAATGCTTATTTGGAGACCTATGTTGGTCTCTTTAACCCGCGCCCTGCTGAGGGGCTATCCCCCCCCCCCTCCTCCGGACTTTTCGATATATCTCCAGAACCGCTGCGTCGATCGTCATCAAACCTTCAGTATTTACCCTCCCGTGCATCAATTTTACACATTGTGACCAAAATTTTCCAAAGGCTATGATAGATGGGCCACAAATGACGTAAGAGTGGCGTCATGTTCAGCCGTTTTCGACAAAAAAAAGTTTGGCGAGAAGAGCTGCAGGCCTACAGCTCTGAAGAAACAGAAAAAATGTTTAAGTCATAAAAGGTGTAGAATTACCAGGGCTACAAAACTGATATCTCGGATTTTTAAATGTTTTCGAATTTTGACCCCCTATTTTTTAATATAATTGCAAAAAAAAAATCCTTTAAGTTTTTCGATTCTCGAAAAAACGGAATATATGTAATAACCCTTACCGACTTCTATTTACATTCTAAATTTCAGATCAATGCCTATTTTTCGGCCAAGTTATACCCAAAAAAAAAAAACTGTTCAAAATTGAAGAAGTCAAATTTTCAAACTCATTTTTTTAGCAATTCTAGACCACGTAGCGTAAAACAAAGGCCACCATTAGACTTCCCGTGACGAGCTGCGTCGAATTAATACGCATTTAATGCAGAAGTATCAACTTTGAAATTTGACCTTTTTTTACCTGACATTGACCTGACCTCCACTAGGAAGTGACCTTAACCGATCCTGATGGTCTTATAGCCAACAACATTGAATTTGAAATGAAAAATTGGCCATTAAACATGCATCACACAGCCCTAGTAAAATTGGGTTCATGTGCTGGCCTGGTGACCTGACCTGTGACCTGACCTGGTACTATCAGCAGCCTGTAATACGCAGCATATGTACTAGGTAACTGACGCCTTATCGCTGATTTTCGATAAAATGTGTTTTACTCGATATTATAGCGCATTCCCTAGATCTAGAAGATCCGTGACCGGCAAAACATTTTATCTTTGATCTGACCTGTGACGTCATCGATGACCCCGAGTTCAATGAAATTGGACTTCCCTCAATAAACTTGACAGGGCTTTCGAACGCCGTTTGAATTTTGCGGATCCATCCAGTAGTTTCGGAGATACGAGGGGGGGATAAAATAGCCCCCTCCCCCACTAGGTCGCGTTATAAACAGACCCCACCGGGGCGCGGGTTAAGTCAAACAGCTGGAAGTGCTGCCAAATGGTTAAGACCACTTATTATCTACCTCAGAGGGACTGTTGTGCGACTATGAGCCTCAGTGAGCTGGGCGTGGTCACACTTGACAGTCTAATGTCTGACTCTCAGCAACCGTTGTGCCGATGAATTTTTAGTATTGTTTTAAACGTGTCAAATTTGTTCCTCTTTCAGCAACTTCGCAATCACTGTTGCGATTGTGCTGAGACAATAACCTACCTGTGAGCAGTGGGTACACAACTGGCAATGCAGCTCGTAAGATCAAGATTGGGATGCATTGCACGCGCACATGCATGCGTCAACTCAATATTTCAAGACGGTGAACCAATAACGCTCAAATATGTACACCGTTGGGCATCGGCTTCAAGAATGGTCGTCATTGCTCAGTTCAGTTCTGCGCATCGTACTTCCGCGAGTGCAGGATTCATAATTGTACTTACTCGTTCGATGCCCAAAATGCATGACTTGATTTTCTTTCATCGATATCATGCTGTGAAGTTTTAGGGTGCAAAGTTCAAATATACAGGACATTGAAATGTGTATTTTTGTACTCACAAACATTCACAAATGGACGACACTCAAATAACGCCATTTGTATGATACATAAATAGGAAAAAGCTTCGTTCATTTACAATAAATTAGTTGTAAGCCGGCTTGTAGGCGGGCTGGTAGGCGGGCTTGTAGGCGGGCTTGTAGGCGGGCTGGTAAGACGGAGCGGCGTACGAAGCGGGCTTGTAGCTGGGCTTGTAGCTGGGCTTGTACTCGTCGTAGCGGGCCTCGCCCTCGTAGGTCACCTCGGCGTTGTAGCCTCCGTAGCCCTGCTGGTCAGCCACGTACTTGACCGTCTGCACACGGCCGTCGGGCAGGTTGACCGAGTAGTAGCCGTTGACGTTCTTGGCGTCGCTGTTCTCGTTCTGCGAGAAGACGGCGCCCGAGTAGTGGTCGTTGACGGCGTAGTCGAACTGGTACGGCTGAGCGGGCTCCTTGTAGGACGGCTGGTGGTAGGCCGGGGCCGGGTGGTAGGCCGGCCGGGGGCTGTAGGGAGTGGAGGGGGCGGCGGCAGCCACGGCCACCAGGGCAGCAACGACGAAGAACTGCAAGACAGACAAAGATGACAGTTAGAAATGAGAAGTTTTTAGTTATGTTTCACATTGAGCTCATCTTCACAATTTCTGATATGAAACGGGCGCGGTGCTTAAACGCTCAAAAGTGGATGATCAGATGAATAATGAATATATTAGTCCAATATCCGAAAGTTTCTTTGCAGCGCTTTCATTCCACAAAACTCAAACAACGCAGCAGAAACGCTATAGGGTGTTGTCCGTCGAGGAAACTGACCTTCATGTTTGCAGATTGGGTCTTTGGCGACTGATACTGTGAACGGCGGACCGGCCTGCCTTTATACCAGCCAGCGACCGTAACCTTGGGTTGGAGGGAGGGAGGGGCTGAGCAGGTAGATGTGGAACACTGCATAGCCGACATTGCGGTAAAAGGAAGTGACCCATCTGGAAGGTAGCATAGGTACTAATTTAACCCACGGATTGCTTTGGGGGGGAGGTTAAACACCCCCACGTTTTCGCCGTGCTAGGTAGGTATAGCTTAAAAATGGTACGCCTCATGCGCGCCAAATTGTCTTATCTGTATTGTATTGTATTGTATTGAACAATCATGAGCGATCCACATTCTAAAAGTGCGTGGCGATTACTGCTCAGAATCCGTATCCGCGGTTACTAATCTAAACATTCACAGCATTCACACATTCACTCACGTCAAAGCACGGACAGAGACACTTTCGTAGTACCACAGGTACAACTCACCCACCCACCAACCCGTTGGTCAGCGACGATCAGTTGATGCCCCGTCCACTATCGCGGCTTTAACAGATCGGGCAAAGGGGGCGGGAGACAGCTGCGACAGCTGAGTTGGGAGACTGTTGAGTAGAGCAGCGGCTCGATAGCCGAACCGCCGCCTACCCGTTTCCAGCCGTGGTCGCGGAAGGTGAAAGAGGTGGTCTTGCCTGGAGTGTCTCTCCCGGACAGCGCTGTTTGTGACGAACATGGTTGCCAATTCCTCGGGTTCGCCGCGCTGAATGGCTTTGTGGGCGATATCAAGGGTTTGGTAATCAGCCATATGACGCGGGGACAGCCACCCGAGCTTTTTTCGCAGGTCAGAGACATGGGCAAATTTACGGCGACCGAAAATGACTCTAGCAGCGAAGTTCAAAATTTTTTGGACACGATCGAAATTTTTTTGGGACCCATTGCCATAAACTGAGAGGCAGTACTGGATGCGTGAGATAACGAGTGCTGTCACGAGCGTTCTAATGATGCCATCCGGGAGACTGTGGCGCGCATGGGAGAGACCGATCAACAGTCCCGTACACCGGCGACTGAGTTCGGAGACGTGAGCGTCCCAGGATAGAGTACTGTCAAAAGTGACGCCCAGGTTCCCCACCTGCGCGCACGGCTGCAACGCTGCGTCACGGAACGATACCCTGAAATCTGGCAATTTGCGTAAATTTTGACGACTGCCGAAGACAATGAGCTGTGTTTTACTGGCGTTGACCTTCAGGGCGTTAGCGCAGAACCATTCGTTGAGTGACGCGAGCGAAACCTCCATGCGCGAGATGAGAACTCCAAGGTCCCTGGCAGGACCGCTAACCAATACTTGGGTGTCGTCGGCATATTGAAAGACTACTGCATCACCCGCGTACAGCGATAGGTTGTTAGAGAAGATGGTGAAAAGTAACGGCCCTAACGCAGAGCCCTGGAAGACACCCATGGTATTAGGAAGAGGCCGAGACAGCACTCTACTTCCGGACCCATTTTTCAACGACACGCTCTGGGTGTGTCCATGAAGATAGGCGGCGAACCAGGAAATTTCGATACCGTGCAGCATAAGTTTTTGCATCAGAAGCTCGTGGTCTATCACGTCAAAACATTTACTAAGGTCGAGAAGGCATAGCATTGAGATCTCCCCCCTGTCGGTGGCGGCCAGGATGCGTTCAGTGACGGACAACAACGCGGTTTCAGTAGAGTGCCGGGGGCGGAAGCCGTGCTGTGAGGATGCCAGCAGGTGATTGTGAGAGAGGCAGATGTAGAGCTGCTGATGGACAATGCGCTCAACCACTTTCATGATTACAGGAACCAGGGAAATGGGCCGGAAGTTTGCGGGGTCTGAAGGATTGCCGGATTTGAACAGAGGGTGAACTATGGAATGTTTCCATGAATCGGGGATGTCGGATTGAATTAAGCAGGTATTGATAATATGCAGGATGACACCACCAATAGCTCGGAATCCGGCTTTCAGCATGCGAACGCAGACACTGTCGGTACCGCAAGCACCCGAGCTACGCATGCTGAAAATCGTCCGCTCAAGCTCGGCAAGTGTGATTTCTCGAAGTTGAAAACTGCATGCACCAACACGGGTAAGACGTACATTCAAATCGGTAGGTGCGTTTTGGGCTCGGATCTCGGCAGCGACACGAGGACCGACGGATACAAAGAAAGAATTTAAGTCATTGGCAGAAAGGTCAGGCTGAACATCAGGACCATCCTTCTTACCGGCAACCACCGACCTGATACATTGCCAAACTTTGTTGGGGCCCCGTTCCCCGATTTCCCTCTGTAGTTCCACCCGCCGGTCGCGACGCAAAGCCGCCCGGACAGAGCGGTTAAGGGTTTTGTACTCGCTCGAGTTGCGGCCTGAATGGCGGAGCGCAGCGCGACGTTGGGACATGAGATCTCGAGTGGCGACGGAGACGGGAGGAGCAGTCGGGTTACGGATAGACACACGCTTAATTGGGGCATGGGCATCGAAAACAGGTACGAAGAAAGACAAGAAAGCATCCCACTTATCACTGACGGTTTCGGCGGAGAATACATAATCCCAGTCAACATCGAGTAAGTCATGATGCAGTGCAGGGTGATCTAAACGCTTAAAGGAGCGAGACGAGATAACAGTGGGCTTTTGACGCAGTTTCGGCACATTCACAACGACATCGATAAGTTTGTGAGGACTGAAGTGACAATATTTAACACGGGTGTCGCAAACGAGCTCACGGTTGTTAACAATACACACATCCAGGAGCGAGCCGGAGGAAAATGTTGCAGTTGTCACTAATTGATCTAATGAGTAATTTGATAGGAAGCTGCTTAGGTGCTGACGCGCGCGGAAATTAGGCTCTTTCAATAAATCACAGTTGAGGTCGCCGCAGATGACAAGCGGAACACTGGGGTAATCGATTATAACTCGTTGCAGTTGGGCCTCGAGGTCCGTGAAGTCGGCAACCAGAGCAGCCTCACTGTGTCGGGGTGGCCGATACAGGGAGCAGATAATCAGCTGCCGGCCCTGTTCAAGCTTTAGCAGCGCCCACAGTGACTCCAGGCTGCTGGCAGAGCTCCCACTGCCCGGGATCTTGAGTCGGGTTGACGTGATTTTAGCCTTGGTGATAATTGCGACACCGCCGTAACCGCTACCATCTGGGCGGTCCACACGACAAAGCGTATATCCTGGAATGACCAGGAGGCGGTTCGGGGTGGTCGAGCGCAGCCAGGTCTCAGCCAGAAGCATGACGTCGTAGTTGTGACGATTGAGCTCAAACGTCAGCTCCTGAATTTTGGGCTTCAGGCTTTGAATATTCAGGGAGCCGATGAGTAATTTGGGCGGGTCGGTCGGCCGGTTAGACTGGCGCTGAGTCTGTCGAGCGGGCCGGCCATGTGCCCCGTCCACTGGGCTGAGGGGGCGTGGCCGATTATGACGGCGGATGACATGGGCGGGAAGACTGCGCCGGATAGTCTCGGCGACTTCCCGAGCCGTGTTGTTGTTCAGCCGGTCACGCACCTCCATCAGAATTGCAAGGTCGTATGCACAGGCAGGAGCAATTTGGTCGTCCCGTCGATGGTTGATGACAGGTGTTTGGCACTCTACACGACGAGACCCGTGAGGGGTCCCAGTGCCGGGAGCAGTCAACTGTTCGCTGCTCCCATGTCCCCTCGCGCGCCGAGCACGCCAGCCCGCGCGACGGCCGCGCCGAGCGGGCCGCCGGGGCAGGGGACGAGGGTCGGCCGGCAATGTTGTTAGCCGGCCGCTACCGGCGTCTCGGGCGCCGGCCGGGACCCATAGGGGCTGGTCACCATGGCAACCGACGGCGGTTGGGAGGGGGAGACTTGAGCCTTGAAGGCATGCGCGGCGGAGAGAAAATAGTCCTGCAGAACTTGATGGTTATCTTGAAAACGACTGCAGATAGACGCTTAAAAATTGCGCCGTTGAGTGCGTCATTAAAAAATACGTAAGTCTTTATGTAACGATGAGCTCTTCTCTTCGATAATTTTAGCGAGTTGATTGAAGTTTATTAAGGCAAGGTTAACAAAAAATCAGTCGAAAACTTTTCGAGGTATCGAGGTTTCAGTAGCGTCTTGGTTTCGCAGTATTCAACCACAAATGGCACATGCTTAAAAAATCATATGAAATCACAAAACAGACGCACAGACATGACATGACATAAATGCCATTAGACTCTCAATGTACTGAACATGCAGTCAAAAAATGGCTACCTTCGAATTTTTAGTGTTGTTCTACATTAACCTAAATCCTAAACTAAAGCTTGGCACCTTATCGTGGTTACTTCTCGGTCGTGATGCATGCGTCAATACGTTGAACTTTTTTTTACAAAAAAAAACTTCTTATGCTAAAAATGGACGCCCCCTCGACGTCTAGTCTAAAACTACCTATAAAATATATGTATTGTGCCACGAATGCCAACTTTGGATTTTCAGGGATCCTGACACTTGATTGACCTGACCTTGATCCTAACTGTGACCACTAAATTCAAATTTAAAGTTCTCATGCGAAGCATCTCGTCGCGTTCTTTCGTTTGTCACCTCGCGCGTTTCGCTGTGGTTATTGAATGTCGACTTATTGGCTCAGGGCGTTTAAGCCCCCCCCCCCCGCCACCACCACCTAGCAGCAATTGGTGGGTGCCGAAATACCCTGCAGTTACTGCCCGGTTAAGCATTTGGGTTACATGAAGTAACGCGCATCAGGAACGGATTGTCCAATTCCCTCAGCATTGTAATCCGTTTGTAACACGCATTTACTCTGCTCATGTATCCCCGGTCAAAGAACGATGGTTCTATAAAAAGACGTAGGTACAGTGATCGTCTAACCCTCGCCGGCCAAGGGCTGCCACCTCCCCCCCCCCAAGTTTTTTTTTTTCGCGATAGCTCAGAACGCGCCGGCGATAGAGTTGAAGCTTCGCATACCGGACCGTGAATTCAAGCCGGGGCTTGTGACACCAGCCGCATTTTCAGGTCAGGTCAGGTCACTGCCCTATGACGTCATAGGATAACCTCTCCACGGTCCTAAAATGTCACAACTTCGCAACGCCCTCATGGTGCCAAAGAAGCTTACACAGGGAGATTAGACTTACAGGACTATAGTTATGCATGGTATCCTTCAGAGGTCTCACAACTTGCATTTATCGGATTTCTCCCTAAGGTCACATGGGGTCAGGTCGACCACGTGACTCACTAGGGATGTCAATTACAGAGTTTCGAAATACCGATAACAAACCAATTACCAACCTCAACTATGAGGAAATACCGAAATCGAACCAACATGGGAACATAAAGGAAATGCCAATTTTTTACTAATTTCTCAGCTTCTTATACATTAGTGAGGGTCCATAATGCCAACAAAATACCGAACACATTATGATTGAAATACCAAATACCAAGTTGGTATCGGTCTGGTATCGGTTGATGTTTGACATCTCTATAGAGCTCACCATAAGTCAATGGGGGAAATGTGGAAACTGCTATTTTGGCGCCGGAACTGATCTAAAATGAGTATCTCTAGCACATGGAACTGTGATTTCATACACTCCTTGCAAGGTCTGCTTTCCTTTGGCATCATTCACCGTCCGTGACGTCATTTATGAGGTAACTTGAAGGCCACAACAGTTGTTCGAACAAATAAGCTGTCGAGAGGCGGGAAAGCCTCCAATTGACTTGGGAAGACCTGCCCAATCGAATGATATACGATATGACCTCTTTCGATCCATTTGGTGACCTGAAGGGCTCTGACCTGACCTGGACCTGGGTTCAGCACCTTACGGTGACCTCATCCAAACAAAAAATATACCATTCGACGCCGCCTGAGCTAGACAAACACGATGATGCCAAAATCGCATCTCTGCGGCTATTTTAATTAAAGGAAGCTATTTACCTACCAAAAAGCAAAGCCGTGCCTTGGGCCACTTGACCTGACCTCAGAGGCCACCCGTTGACCTGAGAACATAAAATCGATTCCCAGCTGCTGTGTCTCGTAACCGTGCACACGTTCGTTTTCGTGCGAGGTTCTAGCTCAATTAGGGGTGAAACGGTGAGGAAGCTGTCGAAGTACAATTCTCGGCCAGGACTTTTGTAGAAAACCAATAGGTCCGGTGAGGTTTCAAGAAACACAAAGAGTGCCCGACAGCTGACAGCCAGGAGAAAGCATACCTATTTACCTAAGCGTGCTGTCTTTCGTTCGGGTTCGGGATCATATACCATGCTGGCTGCTGCCCTAGACAAACACTAAAAAGACAAACGCTTAAATACTGATAAATCTTTATCACTTGAACCGATGAAGGAACGCCTCCAATATATATTAACCTATTAAGTGTTTTTGTAACTTTTGGCATTTTTTAGAATTTTAGACAGAAGGTTATTCCATTAAATATAAACACAAAAAGATATAAATGTCAATGAAATATATATTTGTATGCAAAAACAGTCACAACCAACGGACCAATCTCACGTAAAGCCACTTATGAATTGATATACATAAATAGAAAGAAAAGCTCAGTTCAAAGAACTTTAGTTGTAGGCGGGTTTGTAGGCCGGCTGGTAGGCGGGCTTGTAGGCGGGCTTGTAGGCGGGCGTGTAGGCAGGCTTGTAGGCGGGCTGGTAGGACGGAGCGGCGTACGAAGCGGGCTTGTAGCTGGGCTTGTAGCTGGGCTTGTACTCGTCGTAGCGGGCCTCGCCCTCGTAGGTCACCTCGGCGTTGTAGCCTCCGTAGCCCTGCTGGTCAGCCACGTACTTGACCGTCTGCACACGGCCGTCGGGCAGGTTGACCGAGTAGTAGCCGTTGACGTTCTTGGCGTCGCTGTTCTCGTTCTGCGAGAAGACGGCGCCCGAGTAGTGGTCGTTGACGGCGTAGTCGAACTGGTACGGCTGAGCGGGCTCCTTGTAGGACGGCTGGTGGTAGGCCGGGGCCGGGTGGTAGGCCGGCCGGGGGCTGTAGGGGGTGGAGGGGGCGGCGGCAGCCACGGCCACCAGGGCAGCAACGACGAAGAACTGAAAGGAGACAGAGATGGCGGTTAGAAATGGACAGATTAGGGTATGTTTACTTAGAGCTAAGCTTGACATTTCTTTATAAAACGGGCGCAGTGTGTAAGCATTCGAAAGCGGATGATAAGATGAACATTGAATAACAGTGCTTCATTACAGTATTTTCATTCAAAGAACTCAAACCATCCAGCAGAAACGGTGGAGGGTATGCCCTGTCGAGGAAACTGACCTTCATGTTTGCAGATTGAGTCTTTGGCGACTGATACTGTGAACGGCGGACCGGCCTGCCTTTATACCAGCCAGCGACCGTAACCTTGGGCTGGAGGGAGGGAGGGGCTGAGCAGGTATAAGATGTGGAACACCGCATAGCCGACATTGCGGGAAAGGGAAGTGACCAATCGTAGGAAGTGGGTAGTAATTTAGTCCTTGCACTTACCAGGGATGTCAAATGAATCCTTTTGATTTTTGGGTGTTATTTTTTTATTACGTTTATGTCTTGCTAACGGCGGCGTATCTTCGAGATCCTTGAGGGGGCAGTTGAAAGGGCACTTTGATGGCTAGGTCCCTTAAATTGAAACAGCTTTAAGGGCCCCACAATACCTCAGTTAAATGATACAGTAAAATATGTTTAATTATTCCAGCTGCTTTATTATTTTCAGCCGTTTAAAACACTTCAAGAAGGTAATGAACATTGGATGATGCAATGGATGGTGTAAGGCTGTAGTCACCAAATGTTCATTCCAATTCGTGCGCAAGTACCTATATACACGCAGAAGCAGTTGAAAAGTAAACATACTGAAAACAGGCAATAAACGTTGTCATCGTCATCGGAGTGAGCAGAGCGACAAGACACAACCGCCTAAGGTGCCAAATGGCGACGCAATTAACGTGCTCAGTAGCGGGAAAGCTGGAGTGCGTTGGTGTCTCCTGTTTGTTTGTTTGTTTGTTTTGTTGGGTTAGCCCCTTTCGGTCCAATGGGACCATTTCAGAGCCGGGAGGATGATAGAATATAGGGGGAGACATTGGTCTGGGCAGGCACCCTAGTGAGTCGCCGGGGCTGAGCCCGTCCAGAGGACAGGCCACCCAGCCCCAAGGCACTCACTGCACCCGGCTACGGGGTGCGCTCCCTCGGGAGCAGCGGTGCCGCTCCAAGGGAGCAGCCCGCATGAGATAAAGTTGCCTGTCCAACCCGGAGGGGGGTTGCGGCGTGGAGGAGAAGGATTTCTGTATCCTGAGGATAGAAGCACGGAACGGTGTTGGTGTCTCCTTAGGCTATTCCGTGTATATCGCCAAGAACAGAGCACTATGTATGCAGTTTAGTTTAAGCATGCCTCACGATGCATCATTTTCGCTTAAATTGTTTGAGAAAAAAATGTCGCTAGACTCAGGCCTGGTCAATAGGGTCAGGTCATTACTGCATTTCAAATGCACGTCAAGCGAATTCGCCTAAAAATCATACAGTTGCTCTTGCTACGACTGGCCGATTGGTAAAAATTGTCAGCGATTGGTGGGGAAAATGGACGAAAAGTACTTTTGTCTTTAAGAGAGCATTATCGACGAAAGGCAATGACATTTTGGATTGTTTCTTATTGAATAATGAATTGGAAAATGGCATCCCTGACCCAAAAAAAAATATCGGTCTGCCAGATCATGCTTAGTGAAGAAGTGTCACCAAAAACGAACCCAGGATAGCATACCAGAGCGCTAGAAATTCTTTTGGTGAACTCAGCTAAAATAAGAATCAGTTCACTGACTGGCATGCAACTGGCTTGCCTAAATTCTAGTTTTTTGTGCCTGGAGGCAAACAGTGCCTGGGTCCAGTTTAAGGACATTATACGTAAATACTTGACATACATACATACATACATACATAAAGGTTTATTTGACCGCGTGAAAGTCAACGACTGGTAAAAAAGCCGTACATGAGCTCCTGTGCAATGGTGGCACCACATGAAGAAGTGAGAAGCATCATCAAAATTAAAAACACAGTGCATTTCAAAAGAGCTCCGAGCATATCTTCGTGGGGATCATATCCTGTTCATTAGATCTATGAGTACAGCACAGTGGACTTTTTATACCGCTCAGTTTTGGCCCGCGGTACGACAAACTTTCGCTGCCGGCGCAGAGGGCGCCTCACATGTGCCAGCTGCTCGACCGGGTACAGTGGGTGGGCGGGGCTGGCGAGGATGTCGGCCGCCAGCTTGCAGAGGGCAGCATCGCGACGCTCACTCAGCGTCTCGAGGTTGAGGAGCTGGCAGGCAGAGGCGTAGTCGGTGTAGTTTTCGTATCCTATCATGATTTTGCAAGCTGTTTTCTGGACTTGCTCGATTGCTTGTGCTTGTTGCTGTGTCAGTCCCGTGTGCCACAGTTGAGAGCAGTATTCCAGACACGGACGAATGAGGCTGATGTAGACGGCGCGGATATCGCTCAGATCTGCATGAAACTGACGGAGAACTGTGAGCATAAACAGCCTGCGTGAGGCGTTTTGAGCTTTAAACGAGCTAGAAAATGTTTTCTACCGACATTGCAGCTTTATGTATTAACAAGTTATAAGCCTATGTCAGTCTCGAAGGTATCTTTGGTTATGTCCTCAGAGGGCCTCCTGTTGACCTCAGAGAGTCGTCCATTGCCATTAGAGTGCCCTAGTTTGGCCTTTGGGAGCTTTTAATGGGCATCAGAGAGGGTTTCTGTTGACCTCAGAGGACTTTCATGCCCTCAAAGCTCTCCGTTAGCCTTAGGGCTCAGAACAGTGATGTCAATTGCAGAAAAGCTGGAAGCCGATACCAAACCAAATACCTACTGACCGAAGCCGTGGAAAACACCGAAACAAAACCAGCATTCAAGACATTCGAGCCCTACCGACTTCTTTATAAAATCTAGAGCATCTAAAGCACAATCGAGGCTGAATGAGAACCAACAAAATATAAAAATTTCATATTTGGAATGCCTATCAAATACTAAGATGGTATCGGTTTGATAACGTTATACCAAAAAGCTGGTATCTGATTGACATCACTAGCTTAAAAGGCCCTCTATTGACCTCAGAACCATTTGAGGCTTTCAAGTTTTTGAAGATCCTCTGTAAGTCAAGGGGGACACTCATTAGCTCAGAAGGCACTCTAATAGCCTCAGTGGCCAGGGCCTCGTCCGTTGACCTCAGGGCTCTGAGGTCCCTCTGTTGACATCAAAAGACCCTCCGTTGGTGACCTTAAAGGGCCCTCTGCTAAACTTATAAAAGGATCTCTCTTGACCTCATAAATTTATTTGGTCGTCTCGGGCCCTCTGATGGCCTTCAGGGCCCTTGAAAATTATCTGTTCTTGTCCTAAGAAGATTATCTGTTGGCCTCAAAGAATCTTATGTTGTCTGAGGGCCTCTGAGTGCTCTCTGTTGCCATCAAAGAGTCCTCTATGAAAAACAGAGGCTCCTCCGGTGAACGCAAGGGTCCTGTGAGGTCAAGAGAGGCTCAGACCTCTAGCGCTAACATAGGACCCTGAGGTCAACAGAAGGTCTGAGGCCAGCAGAAGGCCCTGAGGCTAGTAAAAGGCCCTGAGGCCAGCAGAAGGCCCTGAAGCCAGCACAGGGCTTTGAGGCCAGCAGAGGCAGATCCCTCAAAACCATGAGGCGAAAAGAGGGTACTGAGACCAACAGACGACTCCTGAGGCCATGCGAGGGCTCTCTTAGGCTACTAAAGAACCACCGAAGACTGGAGTCTTTCAAAATGTCCTGAAGCCAACAGAGTAATCTCTGAGGCCTGAGCCCAATCGAGGATCCCATGAAGGCTCCGTTGTTCTCAAGGCCACCAGGGCCCTCTGTTGGCCTAAGAGACCCTTTGTTGGTCTAAACGGGTCCTATGTTGGTCTTCCAGAATCCTTGGGATCTCGAGTTGATATTTCAAAAGAAAAAAAAATTGGAGAAATATGCTCCGAGAGGTCTCTAGGATACCCTGAGCACCCCTTGGATTGCTTGCCCTTTTGCGATATAAATAGAAGCTAAAATATCTTATTTGGCGTTAACCTCTCTTCCCCTACGTTCCTTTTCGAGTATAACCAATCCATCGATCCATCCTCCTTGTCGATCCATCCTCTACCTAATAATTCCCGTGGAAATGGGAGTGGAAAACGTCTTCGATTTATCCTTTTCTGTTTTGAATCGCCTCCTCATCCAGCTCTACTTTCGCTGTAGAGCCGCCAATACTCGTGTCTACCTTCTTTTATCTGTTCATTGCTCTCTCAATTTTTTTTTGTGTGCACATCTCAACCTCAGTCCTGCTTTACACGCCGTCCAACACCGTGTGCAATAACCCGTAAATGAGTTTGAAACATGTATATTCCTCCAATTGGTCACATAAGTGCGCATTGAAGGGGAAACGACATGTCTCGCAAGTCAAACACACCAAAACACTTTACATAAATATGAAATATTGTGTATGAAAGCACTTAGTTGTAAGCGGGCTTGTAGGCGGGCTGGTAGGCGGGCTTGTAGGCCGGGGCGGGCTTGTAGGGAGCGGGCTTGTAGCTGGGCTTGTACTCTTCGTAGCGGGGCTCGCCCTCGTAGGTCACCTCGGCGTTGTAGCCTCCGTAGCCCTGCTGGTCAGCCACGTACTTGACCGTCTGCACACGGCCGTCGGGCAGGTTGACCGAGTAGTAGCCGTTGACGTTGCTAGCGTCGCTGTTCTCGTTCTGCGAGAAGACGGCGCCCGAGTAGTGGTCGTTGACGGCGTAGTCGAACTGGTACGGCTGAGCGGGCTCCTTGTAGGACGGCTGGTGGTAGGCCGGGGCCGGGTGGTAGGCCGGCCGGGGGCTGTAGGGGGTGGAGGGGGCGGCGGCAGCCACGGCCACCAGGGCAGCAACGAGGAAGAACTGTAAAATAGAAACAGAAGACATTGTTATCTGATGGCTATACTTTTTCATAGTTCTCACTTTCTTCGTTGATAACCATGAACTTTTAACAATAAATTATTATTGTGCAACGTCAATTGCAACATTACATTAAAGACAAAACAGCAGATCAAACCAGAGCCAAAATTAGGCATTCAACCAGACGCAAGAGAATCGGAATTGACTCCTCGGGGCTAGTGTGGCATCTTTCTACAAGGCTGTACGAAGCACTCGGCTGTGACCGCGCTGCAATGTACCGATCTGGCAGCCGCACTCCCCGGGTCGCGGCCATGCAGTGCCGCGGTGTGAACTCACCTTCATGTTTGCAGGAGAAGGCTGGCGATCAACTGATGCCGGGTGGCCGGCGCCGGCCGCATTTATACCG